AACAACTTTAATTAATACCAAAAGGGAGGTTTACTTAATAATAATATCTCTTCCGGAGTACTTTTATGTATTTTGGGAGGTGGCATTAGCAAAAATGGGGGGTGGAAATAGCAATTCTCTATTTTTATTTAACATATATATACGATACCGCTTTACGAGTTATCTCTAAGGCTTCGGAAACATCATGGCTTTGTTCAGAACCTTTATTAATTCCCAAAGCCACTACGGCGATTTTTTTTGGAATATTTGCATCATCTCCACCTAAACCATAAAACATTCTAACTTCACCCAATTTTCCTTTTAATCCAGAATACTGGAATTGCTCCTGAATGTTTCTTTGCAAATTTTCAGGAATTTCTTTCGCTGCTGTATCCGTAAGTGACCCATCTTTGTAAGAACCTAAAACAAGTGCATCAAAATCAGAAAGCGTTCGACTCATAATGGAATTAAATCGATAAGATCGACGAATCGATGTGAAAAGTGAGTGACACTGATAAAATCTTGTTGATACTCGAATCATTTATGTTTTTAGTTATCGTTAAATAAATTTAGTGTTAATGAAATCAACCTTATAATTGGTTAGTTGAGATCATCTAAATTTCTTATATTGATATCGATATGTATGTTTTTAAAAACCTATATCGATATGTATGATATAAAAAATCCTGGCCTAATTATTTTTTTAGTTGTAAAATTGATGATCGATGCATTACAAAAATTTTATGTCGATATTATCCTACTAGTAGATTGATACAAAATTGATATCCTGTGAATATATTACTCGCATTATGTTGATAGTTTGGTACATTCAAAAGGTGGTTTTTATTTACATTCAGACATATGCCTTTAGCATTTCGAATTTAATTTAAAAGTTACCTTTAACCAGTATTTCAAAATATAAAATACTTGAAAATGGTCTTATTATGCAAACTTTGAATAGCAATGTTTGGATTACAAATGGGATTGTACTGATCTGCTCTGCCACAAGAAAATGATCATATAAAATGTAAAAGATTATAATATCAAAAAATACGTGATGTGTCAAGTGGTTAATATATTAACATTGATTATACTTATATACTGTACAACTGCTTACTTTTATTAGCAAACCGAAGAACATTCATTAAGGATTGAAAGTTAACGTTTAAGGGTAGGGTGTAACATTTTAAATTTATATATAAACTTGATGGTATATTTTTTTTGTAATCTTAATTACAAAAA